GAGAACTAGCAGTAAAATGATGAATTGCTGCTCTTTATCGAGCCCCCTTTGCTTTTGTTTCTCTTGGTTTTTTCCCCATCCTGGGAAAATCTGTTGTTTAGCAATGTTACCTTTCATACAATCAAATTAGTCTTTGGGAAACCAACTATAACAAAGCGGCAACCAACAGCACCTACACGGTAATAAAGAACCTACATGTTCATTCATGCATAAACCGAGGTGTAGGGGGGCAGGTTTTCTCACAATGATTATAATAATAATAGCAGCATCTGCCATATTGGCAGCCAATACATCGTGTGATAAAGAAAATTATTATTTTTATTTGGTCCAAAAGATAAGTCGAGCCACAAAGGGCAAAGCCACAGAGTCTTTATACTTTATCTGCACGTCTTTGCCATGACATTTTAATTAGCTACTGTATGTGAAAGCAGATTTAGTTTGGCAGTTTGACTGAGGTCATATAAAATGGGGATTTTTTTTTTCCTCTCCTTGTGCAGTTTTGCTTTTGTGTAAATCTGGGTTCCACTGACCCACATCCTGTTTCTAACCTCCTTGAGAGAATTCAAAACAGGCAGCTGTGAGAAGCGAAGCAAAGCATTTATTGGCTTTTCTTCATTTACACATAACCATCTGTGATAAAGATCTCCTTAGCAACAGCAAATATTTTGCACATTGTTATCTCTACTGTAGATCTGTTTTGTCTTTTTTTCCCCATTTCACGATCGATTTAGCTTGGCCAAAAGTTGGCCATGTGGCATGACGTGTAAACAATCAATCGGGAGCGCCGTGTCCGCGTACTGCTCCGAGTTAACTTCAACCACCCTGCCGCTGACACCTGTGTTGTGCAATCATTCGCACATTTACATGTTTATGCCTGCGTGGATGTTGTGACGGTTGAGCTGCTGTTCTCTGTCATAACAGTTCGACGGGGCTAGAGTTGTTGTTTGGTTCATGCCATCTGTCAGAAGTGGAGGCAACTGTAGCCTTGTTGGTTCCCAGCCACAAGCCCAGCCTACTCATGGGGTCACTGTGAGACCTCTTCCAACAGCCTTTAAAGTTACTAATCCACTCAATGTGCAGGGGCCACAAAGCTCCAGCAGACCCTTGCAAAACCTTGCTGATGTTTGTAAGAAAAACAAACCATACTATTGATGTATAAATCATTTGGAGGTTACACTCAGTTTTGACAATATTACCGACTCCCAGGGGAGTTGGAGGCATATATGAAACCACAGCGAGATGGATAGTGTATTGTAGGAACATCATGTTTCAGTGCAACATGAAAAGGCATCCCGAAGTGCAATAACTCATCTTTGCAGTCTCCCACATGGCCCTCATGTCTTTGACATATCTAGTGGAGAGTGGTGATGATTACTAAATGGCCCGGCTCCAAAGCCCAAGCACACACAAAACACCCTCATCTCACATGCTGAAACCTACATGCCTCTGTTGCTTTACAACAAAGGCTTCGAGTACAGAGGATTAACAATGACACCAGGACAACTCTTCACGGCACTCAGAGTGCGCATTACTCTGTACACTTTTTTTAAATTTATTTCTCCGCTCAGACTATTTGTGGCTTTTTGTGAACAAAACTGTGGTGACATTATTTTAAGTTACTAATTTGACATTTGGGGCTTATTGTTATCTTGACGGCAGTTGGCAATATTGCTGCTGCCTCATGTTTGTACACTAAATACAAATCTACAATGTACACATATATCGTTGCTAACATAAACAATGAGAAATATTAAAACACAACACACACACAAAAAAAACTGCCATCAACATTGTGAGTGCTGCCCAATGTCATCTTCAGAAGAAGCGTTATTCCCTTGGTTGCTGAGAGTTAATAGTTAATAGCAGCTAAATTTGGAGCTACAGCTAGCAATCATTTAGCTTAGCCTAAGGACTGTAAGAACAGCTAGCCTGCTAAGTAGTTAGCTAAAACATTACATATAAAAGCTTTACACATTAAGTTATTGTTTAACATAAAAACAATAAGAACCTGAAAAGTAACTGCAGTCTAATGTATTGTGTGTGTCTACACACTGTATAAGTGTATTGTGTTGTTTCAGCTTCAAAGGTGAGTGAAAGCTTTCCTGTTATGCTAGTTAATGTTCTTTTAACTCTACCAGAGGTTATTCTGATTACTTATTGTTGTGTTTTTGTCTTGTTTGCTGTAGAAACCCTTATCTTATTTCTGCTGATGTACATTTATTGATTTCTATCTTTGCTTGAACTTCCATGTCTTTTTTTGGTTGTTGTTGTTGTTGTTTTTTGTTGTTTTTTTGGCTAAATTAGAAAGGTTCCCTGCTTCCTGTCTTTTTGCTAAGCTAACCCGACTCTTAGCTGTAGCTTAGCCCAGAGTTGCATGACAAAATCTGCTGCCTGCTTATTTTCTTATTCTCATAAGAATGGGTATATTTCAAAAACTATTTCTTTATATAGGAATTAGGGCCACAATAGAGGCAAGCAAGTGTAAGCTTGGGTTTTATCTCCCAGCACTATTTTAACCTGGAGGCCTGGTGGGAGCATTCAGGCCCAGTCTGTCCTGATGCTTCACTCACAGTTTAGCTTGGAGGAGTGGGATTAACTCTTATCTCCACAGGGATGAGGTCTGTCTTTTGGCGCAGCCTAACATGGACTCGTTTAAACCGCCCCTGTTGCCACTTCACATTCACAAGCATTCCTTAGCAGACAAGTCCCCCAGATAGCAGCTTCTTTAACATACTGTACCATGAAAATTCCAGAAGTTGAGCTTGCTCCAGCTCCGACAAAAGCCCATACAAACAACTGCTAATTTATTCTCACTCCATTTTGAGAGCAAACATTCCTGCCAGTGAGGCAGACCAAACAACCAGCTCTCACAGTAAACATCCACGCACAGAAGGGCAGGTTGTTTGTTCCCGGACTGAAATAATAAATCACAGCCTGTAGTTTGGTCCACAGGTTGAAAACCCCGAGCGTGGCCGGCAGGTTGCTGGTTAAATTCTGCAGAGTTCCGAGCACAGGATTTAATAGCAACCTCAAGCTCCAAACTGTGAAATAATATATGGCTTTATACAGCTGATGTGTAACAGCATGGGGAAAAAAATCCAATTATTCTGTGAAAACTTGCTAAAGAAACGGTGCTAAAGAAAAACCCCAGCCCTCTATTTTTCATTTCTCGTCCATTCATTTTTCCACATCTGTCTAAACATTTCTTAACTCAAAACGCATGAAGTGTATTAAAGATGATCTTTTTTTTTAAAAAATGAAGTCATGACCTGAAGAATACTGGCTAAAAAATATACAATATAATCATATGCTATAATATATACAGTACAAGAATCTTCTAGGTTTTCTGCACAGGGAGTTTTTATTCCACTCCATCTAAGCCATCCCATAACATCAGTGTAGGATTACCCACGAGCTCAGACTCTCTCTATCACGCGTTGTCCATGAAGTCTTTGATAAGCCCGTGTTTTTAGTTCTGGATAACGCACATATGGAAAGGTTTTATTGAGCATGGCATTGCATAAAACTGGATTTCCGAAAGAGGAGGCAACCAGTAGGAATGGTTATCTAATCACGGCAGGGTCAGGTCCGACAGTCTGCTTTAGCAACAGAGGCTATTCTTTTCCTTCTCTAGGGGAAACCAGTGTGTCCACTGGAGTTTACATTAAAATTCAAACGCATTCAGAGCTACATGCCCTCCTGCTGGAAGTGGACTCAGATCAGAGTGTCAAAGTGGTAAAACAATATCGCGCTTTCTTTAAATAAGGCCTCTGGTGAGAGGTGTGTTCAAACACGAATCCCTCGGCGGCGCCTCAGATATTCATTGTCATACCTCGCATTGTGATCTGTGTTGATTTCCCCAACTTTTACCTGATCTTATCCCCTCTTAAAGTGTGTTGTAACTTGAAGTCTCTCTTGTGGTTGTACTGGGTAATGTCCTTCCAAAGATGCTTGTTTTCACAAGTGTTGTGCATGCCTGAACGCTCACCCTCTGTGTGGTGAGTAACATTCATAAACTAACATTTATGAAATGAAATGGCTGTTTATCCTCTAAATATACAGGCGTAGACTTTATAGGTTTATGGGATTTTATAAAGTATTGTATCATTGTTTTTATATAACATTTGAATGATATATTCTGTTTGTTTTTTCTTTTTTAAACAATTCAGACTTTGTATATAAGTTAAAAAAAAAAACCCTAAAGGCATTGGTAGGTGAACTCATAACCACACAGTTACTCATTATAGTTCTTTATAATTCTTTGTATTGCTTTAAATGATCATTTATTCTATTTACCTATTTTATATGGGATTATTTTTGCTGTTTGCTGTCACGGATAGCAAAGGAAGAATGTAATCGTATAGGAAAACATGTTTCTTTACTGTGCATATGACAATAAAACTTTGAAAACTCTATTTTTTGCAGAAATAAATAAGAAAAATTATATTTTCACTGGTTACATGGATAAACAAATGACATCTCATCTTTATTTTATTCTTCTATTTGAAAAGAAATGCGAAAGCTATTTTTTATCCCAGTGGCTGAGTACTCTGTGCGCCGTTAGTAGAGTAGTTACGGCAGAAAACTTTCGGAATGTCGCCTTCACTGACTATCAGAAGTGTAGATTTTAAAAGCTGAAGTCACGCAAACGAAGTGAAGATGGGTTCGAATTTGATGTTTTTCATGCACAGATCACCTGTAACTTGCTCCAAATGTAGAAATAAAGGCTGAATTGTGACGGAATAAAAGAAGTTTGCCGTTTCTCACACTTTGGTTCAGAAATTGTTGCTTTTACGTGTCATAAACGGCCCTGAAAAATTGTCACCTTTTCCTGATTTCACCTTTTTTTTTGCAGTTACAAAAAAAAATTTTTGCGTGCAAAGGAAACGAAATATATTTATTTTTCAGGGTGAAAAACTAACTTCTAACTTCAGAGGGTTCGCGTACGAGGCGCTCCTGAAGGCACCAAAAAGTCTCGGTCAATTAGTAGAGTTTAGACAGTGAGGAGAGCTCGGAGCAAGTAGGTCTCGGCGAACGCTCCACCAATGACCAGCTAAGAGAAAAACGCCCCACTGCTCCTCCGACTTAGATCTGCGGGGGTGGGGAGTCCACAAGTTTTACTCTGGATTTAGGGAAACCATGGGATTCGAGTTGGACCGCTTCAAGGGGACTGTGGACCCGGATTTCAAATGCAACTTGTGCAATAAAGTCCTGGAGGACCCGCTGACGACTCCGTGCGGTCACGTCTTCTGCTCCGGCTGCGTGCTGCCCTGGGTCGTCCAGCAGAGCAGCTGCCCGGTCAAATGTCAGCGGATCTCCACCAAAGAGCTGAACCACGTCCTGCCTCTAAAGAACCTCATCCTGAAGCTGGAGATTAAATGCGATAACCATACGAGGGGCTGCGATGCCGTGGTGAAGCTGCAGCATCTGGCCGAGCACGCCGAGATGTGCGACTACTCCCCGGCGAAGTGCAGGAACAGAGGATGCAGCGAGGTGCTCAACCTGCGGGACGTGGATGCTCACATGCGGGAGACGTGCGACTACAGACCGGTGGGGGTTTGCGAGAGCGGCTGCGGGCTGATGCTCACCCAAAAGGAGCAGAAATCAAATGGCCACTGCTGCCTGAGAGCCCTGAAGGCGCACAACAGCGCGCTGCAGTGCAGAATGATCATCCTGGATAGGGAGTTCAAGAAGCAGACCATAGAAGCCAACAAGAGGGAGAAGGCTCTCCTGGCACAACTTTCCGCCGTGCACAGCGAGCTGCAGATGACAGCGCTCAAGTATCAGAAGAAATTCACAGAGTACAGCGAGAGGATCGACTCCCTCACCAAGACCGTGGCTTTTTCCTGCAAGGTAAGCAGGAAAAGTTTTTGCTCTGAGTGATTCCCAGTAGCTTCTCCCTGCTGTCATCCACAGTGTGACGCCTGGAAAATCTGTGTTCTGTGAGAATAAAATAATTCCACTGCAACTTAAAGTTGATCCTGACATGCACTGCGCATAAGGCAATTGCCTTAAGGCCAACTTTTATAGGCTGTAAAATATCTTCCTCAGCATGTTTTTGTCGGCACTATGGGAGTTCTTAAAATGTCACTTTAACTGGGCCTCCTTGTTGTTTGGGTGGCTGCCTTTTTGTTTAACTTCAACCCAACTGGAAAAGGAAGTCAATCTTGTTGGCGATTCTGCTTTTTCCTTTTTTTTCCTGGTGTTTCCAGGAGAACTTTGTGCCTTGGCTGCCTGCTTTGAGACATGGATGTCAGCTGTGCCTCTTGGCCAGCTGGCAGTAAATGTGGGGTGGGGGGAGGGCTAAATATTTACTGCAGTTCTGTACACAACAAGAACCAGGTTCCAGTTATAATGCCTCACCCCCTCACAGCATGCTTGTTTGAGGCTTTTTGTCATCGGATGTTCGCCCTTTCCCCCGAGACCATCATAACAAATTAGAATCAGGGCTGCAGCAGAGTTGCTGGCACCAAAGTTGAATGAGCTAGTAAGGGCTTATGAGGTCCCGAAAGGCCTTAAAAACAGTAAAGCCTGATCTGTGCAAGGCCCCTGCGAGGGGGGGGATGTGGCTGAGGAAGAGCTGATGTAAGGATGTTTTATGGTTCAAATTTATAAACCCAGTGGCCCATTATCAACATCATAAAGGATGCAGGAGTTCATAAATCTGGTAATGAATTGAATTAGTGTATGGTGCTTGCACTGCTGCTGGGATTAGCAAATGGGAGTGGTCAGGGTTTTGTTTTAGAGGAGAAATAATTATTAGTAGAAATATGGATGAATGGGATGTGCTTTTTAAAAAAAATAAATACACCCTTTTTATGTCCCAGAAGTTCTTTAATAAATCACCTATCAAAGATTTCCCTCTCTTTTGCTCCCCCTGCTTTTGCTGGGTGCTTTCATTTGTTCATTATGGGCTCAGCTCCCAGTAAAATGTGTTCTAGTAGACTGGTAAATTGCGCATCAAATGTACCGATGCAGGCAAATCGGGAAATCGCTCATGCTGGTATAAAGAAGCTTCCTGGGCCTGTAGCGCAGCAAGTTATCATAGCTCATTTGACAGCGGCATCTCAGTCCTGCCATTGAGCTCTACATTAAGTGTGTTATTGCCATTGTGGCTGTGCTAACGCAAAAACAGAAGGAATAACGTCTGCACTTGAGGCATGCTTTGAACATATGTATGAGATACAGGAATGGTTGAGAACTCTTCTGAGGATGAGATTTAATATCTGTGGGTGATATTGCAACTCGTTAGAAAGAAAGAAAGAAAGCTCTTCTATCTCGAAAGGCCTTTCATTGGATCCAGTCAAGCAGTGAACAGGAATGAGGTTCTCTCACAAATGTGAATATGAACTGGGATTAGCTGTTAGAGGCAGTCTGTCCAAAAACTTTGCTCCCTTTTTTTTTTTTCCTCATGATTTCAGTAATCAAGAGCCTAATTACATCAGTGTGTTATTGGTAATTTCCGAAAAGGGATATTTTGACGTGCCAAAGCAGCAAAAGCCCAGGTAATGACTTGTCTGATAGGCCTACTCCTTTGAAGCCATGCTAGTGAGCCAGCATTCACAATACCACGGACCTGGAACGCGCTAAATGGAGTGCATCCAATGCGAGGTGCATTTCACAATTCAAAAGATCATTGGGGGAAAAAAGGTTTTAATGCAGTTTTATGACATGCAGTATTATGCAGAAGTCTCAGGCTTCCTGATATTTCTTTATATTTTAGGTTATATTAAAGAAGCCACACTTTCTTGCAACCTTTGTGGCATTCTTCTTTTTTAAAGCGGTTTTTGGCACTGTCCAGGCTTTGTAAAGTTTTCTTTGGATATTTGCGGTGTTTTCACTCGGTTTCAACTCTGCACTTGACCATTTTCAGAGATTTTGAAAGTAGACAAAGGGAGAAGTGGGAGGCCTGTTAAACTAACCAAACAGCAGCTGAAAATCATGTCCTTAAAAAAATATTAAAAAATATAACAAGTCCTGACACGGGGCCTGAGAGATGCATCTGGCCCTGCAGTTAACCCATCTGCTGTTCATTGAACCCTCATCAGAAGTGGTCTCAGTGGAGGGTGGCATTCTTAAGGAAGGGAAACGGGGACGAAAGACTGAAGTATGCTAAATTACACAACTGAAAAGCTGAAAACCATCTTCTGGGCTGTGGAATTCACATTTGAAAATTTTGTTTCAAATTACTGAAACAAAAATAAAAGGTCAGGAGAGAGGTATAAAAGTGAGTGTCGGTACCTGTAAAACACGCTGGGGGCTCCGTCATGGTTTGGGCTGCATCTCAGCTGGTGGTGTTGGAGATCTTGTCGAAATTGATGGAATTATGAACTCCAAAAAGTACAGTCAGATTTTGATCAACCATGCAATACCATCTGGAAAACATCTGATTGCCAACAACTTAATTTTTCAGTATGACAGTGTTCCCAAACACATACCTGGATAGAAAAACAGACTGTGGAACACTGTCAGTCATGGATTGGCTTGCTCCAAAGCCCAGACATCAACATTACTGAAGCATCTTGACAGAGAATAGGACAAAAGGCAGCCAACATCCAAAGAAGAGCTCTGAATGTTGTTCAGGGAGCCTGGAGAACTAGTTCAGGGTGTGCTGAAGAATAAAGGTGGTCTTACCAAATTCTAGTTTTCAAGCTCGTTAGAATTGCACACACTCTGTGCTTGCCTTATAAACTGTGTTTTCCTGTATGTTTGCACATGTTTCAATAAATCACTGCCTCCTATTTCCCAATGTCCTAGCAAACAGAGTGTTGGCTCAAAACTTTTGCTGAGTACTGATCATCAGATCACTACCAAAGGATGAATGCAAGTCCATTGTTACAGCTGACTGGCAACTTACTTTAGTTTAGAGATTCCACCACTCCTCAACTTGAATGTTTTTTAAAGCCAAAAACTGGGAGATGAGGAGTAACTGACTGGTATTTAAAAGAAAGATTATTTAATACGAAATGCAAGAAAGACAAATAAAACTGATGGAAAATCAATGAACAAAAAGCTCAGATCTTTACTGTGGTTCATTGCAGGGCTGTTAGAAGTGTTGGATCTGTGTTTTTGAACCAAGATCCCCTTTGGCTGCAGACGACAGCATTAAAGGTTCTTGATCTAATAACAAGTGTCTTTTAAAATCACAAGACATCAAACTGATTGATCCTGCATTGAATTTGATTGGAGTAATTGTGACCTCAAACTGATTAGGCTAATTGTGGACTTTTTTTTAAAAGCAGGGCTCTGTGAGATAGCTTAACAGAATAATGGAAGCTATTAGTTATTTCACAAGCGTGGCTATCAATTGAACATGACAGATCACATTAACAAAAGCCATCATGTATTCAATGAAGATGCCCATTTCGTCTAATAAAAATGCATTAGGCTGCTGGTTCCTTTGTGTATATACATTAGCATTGAGTGATAATCCTTGTCATTGATTTGAAATAGACTTCACTACCTCATTAATGGGGTAAACTGCCCTACATTTACAAGGTCACCGAGTTTCTGTCTCTTGACCACATGCCAGTAGTTTATAAATCAATATGTTCCCTTTTTGTTCTGTATTACAGTACCTACACTATAATTAGGTGAACTATATTAAGAGTTAGACAGGGGGAAGGCAGCTTGATGGAGGACAGACTCGGAAAGTGTGACGAGTGCTGAGGTGAAGGCTCACCGTGAGTTTGCCAAGTCACAAGTGAGCAGCAGACTAAAGTTTCACTGCCAGCGTGCCACTTCTTACCTCACCAATAAAGTTTTGTTTGTTTTTTCTCCCCACGGAGCTTTTGTTTACTTGCTGTAGCGCCCATGTCATTGTGTCTCCACGGTTTTGTTTTGAATTTGTGGTGTTTAGCACATCAGTTTTTCTTTTTAGTCTTTAATGTAACTCAAGCACACCTGATGTTTTAGTAAATTTGCAACCTCATCCTGAAGACGTTTACTTCATTTTTGGGGGGTTGGATCATTGTTAAGAGTGTTTGCAGATGTGGTGAGAAGGGAAGAGAGGGGAAGGGGGAAAAAAAAAAGAAAAGCTTCATAATTGTTCATTTTAATGGTTCTTGTGGATGAAATGTGAAGACTAGTTTGTTTTGAGGCCTGTGACACATTCAGCATAAGTGAAGAGGATGGAAAAGCCAATTGCTTTGTACCTTTTTTTTCATTTGTCATATTAATTCCACTTTGTCTCAACAAGCATAATGCCCAACTGTCTTCTTGTTGACAGCGACGGCTGTAGTTCACTATAATTCGGAAGCATGTGCCACTAATGCTGTCGTGACAGAAGCGCACATTCCTGCAGGGCCAGACTTGCACATGCTGGTGCTTTTAGGCTATATGGCAGTCAGGATGCTGTACATGCCAGTAATATCTGCTTTATATTTAGTCTCAATGTTTCGCAGAATACTGGAGCGGCAGCTGAAATTATGTTACCTCATAGCTGCCCTCTAAGTCCTCCTTAAAAAAACAGATTAAGGGCTGACTCTGCGAGTTTCCCAGAGGTTTTCATGTCATGTAGCTTCTGAGTCAAGAGGCCCGCTGGTGTATTCATTTACATAGGACAACGGTTCGTGAGAGAGCGGTTCTCTTCTTTGACCTGGTCATCATTTCAGGCTGGGTGTGCTGGCTAAGCCCTGGAGAATGGTGAAATTTGAAGAAGCTAAAGTAACTTGTTACATTACAAGATTCCGGCCATTAGAAACTACATACCAGCTGTTATGTTGTAGCAAAAAATTTGTACCATCTTGTGCTCATTTATAGTGTCCAGAAGGTGTGTAACCCACTGTAAATTTACCTGAGTTTGTCCACTTTAGCTCACTGCCTAACAGGTTGATATAGGCAGCAGTTTGTCCACCACCTAACTAGAAAGAAACTCGCTTTTGCTAGTTTTGCAGTTCTGAACTGTAGCACTAGCACCAGCATCTTAGTCCTCCTCAGCAGCGATGTTGTGGAGCGTTGCTTAGCTTGCAGGTACTTCTTCAGCACGAGGAATTGAGCTTCGTAGCAGCTGACAGACTCTTATTATCACCCTGGGTCAGGACAATGCGAATGCTCCAACTGTGTAACTGCAAATCTCTCTGCCATCTCACTAAATGACCTTCACATGCTGACCGGCTCAATGGCCAGATTCCATTTTGCACAACAAAAGGAGCAGGGAAATGTTGGAACACTTCAATAGCAACCAGTTCCTTCATTGGAATAAAATGACAGTATTTGAATTACAAAGCTGACCTTTTGACTTTAAAGTTACAACGAACAAGTAATCTGTATACTTGGATGCTGTAGTTCATATGTTACACCAACACTGGCTAGCACTGGATTGGCATTTTTTTAAAAATGGTTGTGGGCCTGAGACTGAAGTTGTCTGTTTTTAGTTATGCACAACTGTTACTTGTAATCAAATCATTTATGATAAGTAATTCAGAGTTAACTTGAATAATGACTAGCTTAATTTGTAAACGGACTGGTACTTGTGAAGTGCTTCTACTCTAGCTGAGCACTCAAAGCGTTTTCTAGTACAAGTCTTTATTCACTCATTCACACATATACATACACATAAGTGCTTTGCCTAAAGCCATGTCCACACTAATACGTTTTCATTTGAAAACGCATCTTTTTCTCTCCGTTTTGGCCTTCCGTCCACACTGAGACGGCGTTTTCGGTCAAGGAAAACTCAGCGCTTTCAAACGCTTTCCAAAGCAGATACATTTGAAAACGCTGTTTTCGCGTTGCAGTGTGGACAGTGAACCCGGAGCCTTTTCGAAAACGATAACCCATTTTAGTCATGTGATGCAGTAGAGGTGGGAATCACCATACATCCCACGATACGATATTATCACAATACTTAACGCACGATACGATATTATTGCAATTTTTTAAAATATTTTGCAATATTCAGATTCTGTACATAAAGGTAAACTTTATCAATATTCATTTTATCTAATAACAAAGTCTCGCACTCAGTCTTTCTCTCAT